AAAAAAAAATTGGAAGTAATGAAAAAAAAAAAAAAATGAAATAAACGATGTCGAGCAAACATTTCTTTTATTACCTTGTCCATTTTAGGTTGTAGGCGGTCATGATTCTCCACATTTTCTTTTTCTTTATTATCTATGTCATGACCTCTTGGGGGAGATAGTCGAGTGATCTCCCATTGCTTTCTCAGCGGTTTGGAATTCAATGTAAATTTTCACCCTTCAAGATGGAGATCATTACGGTCCACCACAGATCCATTCTTTCTGCTCTGTATATTAACATGACTTCTTGGGAAAGATAGGTAGTGATTTCCTATTGCCTTCCCGACGATTTGAACTTCAAAACTGTCTTTCTCCGCTTCACGATGGCGATGATTATGACTCTCCCTATTCTTTTTCTTTATGATCAATATATTAAGATGACTTATTTAGAAAGATAGTGCTTTCTAGTTACTTTCTCTACAATTTAGAATTCAGAAATCTCTTTCTCCCTTCAGGGTGTAGACGATCATGACACTCCACAGTTTCCTACCTTTATTACCTGTGAATTGCTATGATTTTTTGGGAAAGATAGTGGAGCGGTTTCTCGTTGTCTTAACGGTTTTGAATTAAAAATCTTGTCCTTCGTTCAGGGCAGGGGCTATCATGGTCCTCCACAATTTCTTTTCGTTTATTATCTGTTATTTGCCATGAAGTCTTTGAAAAGATAGCATAGTGGCTTCCATTTGTCTTCTTTACGGTCTTGAGTTCAAGCTGCATTCTTCCTTCATGCCGTAGGTGATCATGGCTCTCCACAGAGTCCTTTTTCTTTATTATCTACGTATTAACATGTACATTATTTACATTATTCGGACTATTGCCCTCATCTTTGTCGCCATATCTATCACAACGTTTCAGCCGTTGTACGCTCCGGCCTTCTACAGGTGGTTGGAATGTCGAACTGAACCCTTTATTTCGCTCACTGGGGTAGACTGTTCTAGTTCCACGTGCCATATCTAATGGATGTCAGTTATCAGTTATCTCCTGATAATTTCCCTCTGAAAGTTCTCCACTGCCTTAACCGGCACTGATAAAAATGGTTGCTGAAGACATTAGGTTTATAATACCCAGAAAGTCATACCCAGATGTCCTCAAGGATACATGGCACAGTGGATAAAGGCGTTGGTTAGATCCAGTGACAGTTCAATACACGGTTAATGTTCTGATAGATCATGATTTTTACATTAATGAACGAATAAGCTCTTTGCAAGGACCACGAATATAAAACATCCAAGATAATTTTCAATTTATTGTAGCAATAAATATTTGAACTTAACTTTAATAATAATATTGTTAATAGCAATCGTAAATATGAATGCAGGTCATTATTTGAAGAAGTAAGAGGGTACAAATAAAAAAGATTTAAAAAATATGGTTTTCCATTTCGTTAAACGCATTATCCCCCTTTCCATTCCTTCCACCCACGCATCCTACCTGCCTTCCTTCCTTCATTTCTCTCTTCCTTCCTTCCTGCCTTCCTTCCTTCCTTCCTTCCTTCCTTCTTTCTTTCTTTCTTTCTTCCTTCCTTCTTTCTTTCGTTTTGTTCTTTTCTTGACCTATATACATATCTATCTATCTATCTATCTATCCTCGATTGATTTATATATCTTTCTGCCTACTGTTGATTTATATATCTTTTTGCCTACTGTTGATCTATCTATCTATCTATCTATCTATCTATCTATCTATCTATCTATCTATCTATCTATCTATCTATCTATGACAGCGGTATCACCTATCGTTCGTTCGTTCCTTTCTTCCTTCCTTGCTTGTTCCCTTCTTTTCGTTCGTTCTTAATCTATCTGTCTCCCTCATTTTATTAATATCTATCTAGCGAGCTCTCCTGAATTGGTTTATCTATCTATCTATCTATCTATCTATCTATCTATCTATCTATCTATCTATCTATCTATCTATCTACTCTCAAATGATCTATTAATACACTTTCTAATGGTCTATCTAACTATCAATCTATCTATATGTCCGTATTTGATCTATCTATCTATCTATCTATCTATCTATCTATCTATCTATCTATCTATCTGTATGTATGTATGTATGTATGTCCGTTTGTTTGTCAGTACGCATGAGAGTGTTATCACATCTTTCTTTCTTTCTTTCTTAATCTATTTACTTATCTATCTCATTCTATCATATCTATCTATCTATCTATCTATCTATCTATCTATCTATCTATCTATCTATCTATCTCAATTCATATATATATATATTAATATATTATGTATGCTTTCGTTTTCTCACTAAAACTAAACAGTGTCTCTTTTCTCTCCATCGACTCGTGCAATGAAAGCGAAATATTCTATTAAATACGATGATTATAAAACGAATAACCAGCGACAACAGCTACACTAATGGCGATCAAAGCAGTTATAATTAGACAAAACACAGGTTCTAGTCGATTCATTGATCTGACTAAACAATATTCGTGCAAATAGAAAGAATATCGAAATAAAAACTGACGCTAAGAAGGCAGCGGTTAAAATAAATAAATAATAATAATAATAGACTTGAAGCAACAGGAATTTCTAGAGCACATAATGAGGAAAGAGGGCTTGTAAAATTTGATACGCACAAGACAGATTGAAGGCAAGAGGGATCAAAGGTAAAAACGCATAACCTACCTCGCGAGATTAAGTAAACGAAGAGCGATACAGGGTTAAAGCGACAAATTTTATTTACAGGTACAAAGGACGGGAAAGCGTGGATAGCTATGAACGCCAACATCCTGAAGAGACATGACAAATTGAAGACATCCATGGAAATTAGTTAAGTGTTGAGGATTGAAATGAAAGAAAAAAATACCTGATTAAAAAGAATAATTAGAAGCCATAAAAAATATTTGGAGGGGGGGGGGCTTAGCAAGATTTGAACCTGAAATAAACCAATTCATTAAGATTTAGTAATGCTGAACAAATCTCCTCACAGATGAAGAAGAGACTTGAGGCAACAGAAATGTGTCTCTACAGAAGGATGCTGAGAATACTATTGAACTGATTGTTCGTACTAACACTTTCTACTTCTCTGTATATATTTATCTCTGTAATATATCTGTGTTATTCCATATCCGTGTTCGAGTTCTTCTTTATTGGTTCTACCTTGGACTATCACCGTGGTACAAGGACCTTGGACCATAACACAAAGGAAGATCATGAATATATGATTGAATAATATGTAACAAATCAAGGTCAGAGATGGACAAATTTTCGTATATACGAAGAATTATCTTATATACAAATAAATAATTGTTGTGGATTCCGTGAATGGAATAAATAAACGCCAGTAATTGAGATAGAAAAATAAGTGTATTAAACGTAAGAATACAGACTTGAAGTGAAGGTTAGTAGTCCAGGAATGCGGGTTAGTAGAAAGTATATGTACAAGTCTCTGTAAGTAAAGCCGTAATCATCTCTCTCTCTGGACTCTTGTATAACTCTCTGAGAACACCCTGTGTCTGTCTCCGTATCTCTCAACATATCTGTCTCAACATATCTCCACGTATCTCGACGTATCTCAACAGCAGGTATTCTCTCTGTCAGTATAAGTATACTTTGGACGAGTCCATTTTATGTAAAAAGGGGAGAGCCCCACAACAATAATAAATCAACAACAAATTATAAAGTAATCTAATAATGAATAATGGGTAAAAATATTAATTAAACAACACAATAAAATAGCTATTAATAATCGCATTCAGATTAATTAATAATTATTTTGACTTTAATAGCTTCGCGAATAATTAGAAACTTAACCGTTACAGTCCCACCTAATAACCATTGGGATAATACAAAAGAACCTTCTACCAATAATGCACCATTAACTATCATACAAAATAGTCGAGTCAAAGTGCAGCGGGGAAATCGACACTGCATATTACTGCATGACGGATGTAACAAGGTGATTCACACTGCTTCAAAATTTTACCCCATGGGGGATATAACAGGAGAATCGACACTGGTTCAACATTTTACTGCATGATTGCTGTGGCATTTTTAGGGTCAGAAATAATGACACAAGAGAGGAATTGAGTTAAACAAATATATTAACAGAAACAGTAATACAAACATATACAAACGAGAGGGTTACAGCAAGAAATGTTCGGTCCGACTGTCAGAGCTGACTGCTGGAAAAAAGGCATTGCCTGCTCCTATTTATAGCTGGGAGTGTCTATGCGTGCGTGGGTAACTTACCATAACACCCGCCTTTTTAAGTATTAACTCCGCAGGAGTCTCAATACCTTTTCCTCTTTAAACGGCATTGCTCCGGGGCCGCTTGAGGCATTGACATGTCAAATGTATCGTAAATGACATCCATGCCTTCTTTTTCTCCAGGAGGACTGCTGTCAGCATCGTTCGACTAGTGCTTCCTGATTTGGTTGAAATGTTTCTTGCGAGTAAACTGGGGACCTTTAATTATGTAGATCATAATTCCTACTGTTTTCTTAATTGTACCCATTTCCCAGAAAGATTTATTATCACGAAACATTCGGAAAAAAAACTTTCTCTCCGGGTTGGTAGTGTTTATTTGGTGCAGTGTTTGTTCGTCCGAGTTTTGTTTGTTTGGGGAGTAGCTTGTCGAACAAAGACCTGATTTAACGCTCATATATTACCTCAGCTGGGGGTAATGATGACAGTGTGTTGTCGTTGGGCGTAATTCTATACACCTGGAGGAACTGTTGTAGGGCTTTTTCTGTGGGTATGTCCCTAGCTTTCTTCAGGGCTCTTTGTAACGTATCAACGAAGCGCTCAGCCTGGACGTTGGACCTTGGATGATATAAAAAATCGTGATATGATTGATCTGGAAGGTGACACAAAAATCCTTAAAATCGCCGGACGTAAATTGTATCCGATTGTCGGACACTAGACAATCGACTACCCCAAATCTGGGGAACAGTTCGTGGAGGAAATTGATTGTAACTTCTGTAGTGGGTTTTCTACATCTAAGGATTTCGGGCCATTTCGAAAAACTACCTACTACTATGAGATTATAGAATCCGTCTAGCGGTCCTGCAAAGTCCACATGTATTCGGGACCATGGTCGGTCCGTTTTAGGCCAAGGACTATATTTGATTGGAATGCCTTAGCTGCCAAGGCACAGCCTTTACAGGATTTTACGATGTTTCCGATATCCTTATCTATGTTCAGCCAGTACACATAACTGCGCATAAGGCTTTTCATCCTTGTAATTCCTGTGTGGCCAGCACGGAAATCTTTCAGAATTCTTCTTTAAAGCGCTGTGAGAATAACGACTCGCTCACTATATATCATAGGGAGAAAATATATGAAGTCTGTTCGTCTTTTTCACGATTTTTGGTTTTGGTTTGCCTGATAATCGATAATCTCATCCTTTAGAGCTTCTCGTTTGATTTGTTCGAGATTTACAGGAAGTTCCCTTTCTGTGTTGTATAATGTGGTTTTAATTTCTCCTTCAAGGGGTTCCCTGTGTTTCGGGATTAATATGGATAGTCCGTTGGCATGAGTGTTTTTTTAGACGATAGGAACTCCATCTCCGTAGTCACTTTGATGTATGCACAGGCAGACCTTTTTTAGAACCGAAAATGGTAAGTAATGGTTTATGGTCCGTCTGCAATGTAAAGTCCCTACTGTGAACCGGTGAAATTTCGTAACTGAGAAAAAATCCCAAACGAGTCTTTCTCAATTTGGGAGTAGTTCTTCTCTGCGGGAAGAAGTGTTCTCGACGCGTGGGCAACTGGTTTGTGAGATCCATCTGGCATCTTTGAAAGAAGAAAAACGCCCATATACCTAAGCTGGCGTCGTTTGGCGTCGCTGGCGTCGCTGGCGTCGCTGGCAACTATTGTTGTTCATGATGACGGTCGTCTTTGAGTTTAGAATCCAGAGGGTAGCAGTGAATATTTTGAAGACAGTAGGGAAGCGTAGTTAAGGCTAGCAGTGGATATCCCGGTAAAGTAGCAAAGCGTAGTTCAGTAGTTCTTCCTTCTGTTCTTTCGCCTGACAAGTTGGCACTGGACATTCGGAGAGAGTAAACAAAATGGCCGTCTTTTGTACACGACGGATTGAATATTTTACGTCTTCTGATTGGTTAACCTTCTATTGGTGGACTATAAAGTGAGTCAAGTCATTTGATCTAGCTCACTAGTACATATACCAAAAAAACTGCAACAACTATAATGTCCAGGTTTGGGATAAAGTGGAGGAGAAACGACGTCTACACTTCTTTTATTTTAGCGAATGCTTCCTGGAATTCAGGTTTCCAATCCCAGTCAGGATTTTTTTCAGAAATTCCTTTAGAGGAGCGCGTAATTTGTGCATATTAGATATAAATACTTGGTAGTAGATTACCGATCCTAAAAAAAAAACCCAAAAACTTTGTAATTGTTATGGTCCAGGTTAGAATAACACGAACACAAGAGTAGAAATAACGAAGGCATATTACACGAACTAATAATACAAGAGGTGGAAGGTGTTAGTATGACTGTCAGTCTGGTTTAGAGTGAACGACTATCGGTTCGACTCGATTCGGTATCTAGCCACACACCACGAGGGTTGCGGGTGGCACAAGGCCGAGGAAGTTCTTTTGGGTTTTCCGAGCCCGTAGGCGACATTAAAAAAAATGCCTGTATAGAACCTATAATTTAATCGGGTTGGTCAACCTCCCAAACGAGACTCTGCCCTTCGGCGGAGTCTCGTGGATCAATTCCTCTCTGCTCAGAGGCAGATAGTTCGACCGTCAAGCCGAGAAGCTCGGGTTTGATTCGAACCTCTCTTTGAGAGCGTAGTTTACATAGTGTTAGGAAGAATTCATTCTGTATAAATAGGTATATTTACTACTACTGTACTGGTGCGGCATTCACCCTGGGCGGATTGAACCGGCTTCTTCCTGTTATGAGAAGATTCTTGGGATAAATTACAGAATAGGGGTTCACCCAGGCCTACTCGAATAACGTTCTTGCTTGCCGCGGGGTTCCCACAGACGCAGAGACAGGAACGACCAGAAGCCGCCGGTTACCGATGCAGACGCCTTGGATTTTTTCACCAGAGCCCTTGTTAGCCGGCGTGTGTGTCAGACCTGTCCGCCTTGGGTTAAATTTACCAGGAACGAAGTTCCGGGCGGCATAGCTCTGACACTACCGTTTACACCCTCCACCGACTGTGAGGTAAGGTTTGGACTTTGGGGGGCTTACAGTACCAGGTGTTCCCAAGCGGTCCCCCATCTAAGTACTGACCTGGCACTACGATGCTTAACCTCGGTGATCGAACGAGAAGCGG